TGGAGACTCAGGCCAGTGAACATGATAAGGAAACACCCTAGAGGAAATCCACTACTCCCCCTTTTTCACACGGGTGCTTCACATATTACATTCTTCTGTCACGTACAGTTTTCATTAACGATCATGAGGTTCAGGGGTAGGTGAGTGGATAACATAGATAATATCCCAGAGTTCCGATGGAGGCTACACAGCTACAGACAGCAGTGACCGGGTGTGTGAGCTGAGCTCTTCACCCCCAACCCAAGTGTGTTCAAGTTATAGCCCCTGGTCCCTGTGACAGTGAGCTCGCATCATATACAATGAAGGAAGACTGGAATGATAGTTTGCTTTTCATTACATAGTGAAAATGCAACATATTGAATTGTATGGGATGAAGCTGGTGGTGTGGCCCAATGGTAAGTTTCTCATTATTGCTAGAGGTCCTATGCTCAATGTTGAGAACCAAATATACCATCATCTCTTTGAGGAAATAAAGGAAACACTGAAGAAAGTCTATATTGATAAGTGAGCACATTTAACAAAGAAACAAAGAGCTGAGCACTGTGTGTGCATCTGCACTCCAGAAGTGGAAGTCTGAGGCGTGTTAGGAGTTTGAGTGCAGCATGGACTACAGGTTACAACCAATTCTAAAACAGAAAAAGACAAATGTTGTTAAATATGACACGACATTATCGCAAATGCTAAAATTTAGAAAGAGAACAAAGCAATCATCCACTAAATATAATTAATGTACTATTATGTGACCTCCACTGCCTTCTCTCTAAATCTACATAAGTGGTGTATTTGCCAGGACTCACCTGCCTAATTCGTTTCTGTGTCTCCATTCCTGTTGAGGGTCCTCTGGTCCTCCAGAGGGAAGATACAAGCAGGCAGACTTCTGTGAAGTACAGGCCAGCCTCAGCTATACAGTGAGTTCCAGACCACCAAAGGCTATACAACGAGACTCTGTCTCAAAATCAAATAACAATTAAACAAACAAAACCTATGAAGGACGGATGCTGAGGAATCTAGAATCCAGACACTGAAGCACCCAGGAAAGAAAAGCCAGTCCCTCTGAAGGACAATTCTGTTTCCTGTGTGTTTGCGGAAATAAAGCTCTCACGAGAGGATGGGGGAATAAGCCTCTGAAGGCCATAACCTGTAAGTCTGCCCAACTGACAGGGTGCTGATGCCAAAACTCTGCAAGGCTGCAGCCAGAAGGGGTAAAGGCCATGACCCCCACCTACACAGCCCTGCTCTGCCTTGGTGAGACATGAAGAGGGTGAGGGAACCACCCTAGCCTGGGAGGGACCTGCCCAACAGCTGGACCTTTCATGACCAAGGCATCTCAGGGACTCAAAGACAATGAGGAGGGGAAGACCTGCTCAGGCTTCAGGGCAAACCTCTCACAGAGAACTCTCTTCCAGGATTGAGTCTGTTCCTCAGGACCCCAATGCTGGCAGGTGAGTGTGTCCCCAGCTGTCACAGGTAAGTCCTCCTCACTGAGAACAAGAGGTCACCTATGGGCATTGGAGACAGAGAGCAGCAGGTGTGGCTGATACTGGGGAAACTGGAGGGTTCCCGGGCTGAGGGCTGGATCTGAGGGAGGATTTCATGTGACCAGCCTGTGATTTCTCTGCAGGGATGCTCCCCGAGCCCACAATCAGAGTTGAGCCATGCTCTGTTGTTCCCAAAGGGACACAGGTGACCATCTCATGTGAGGGGACAACAGGGGCCACAGAATACTGTCTCTATAAAGATGAGAAACAATATCCCTTGAGGCAAAACACCCCAGTGCACACTGGGAACAAGGCCCATTTCCTCATCCCATCCATTGAACTGCACCATGCAGGGCGATATCAGTGTCACTACCACTCCCCCGATGGCTGGTCTGAGCACAGTGATTTCCTGGAGCTGGTGGTGACAGGTAAGAAGGCACTCAGGGATCCAACCCTAGGCTTCAGTCTCAGGAAAGGGGTCTGCTCTCAGAGATGTCCTCCCTCACAGCTTAGCCAAGAAGACAGTATAGACTGTGTGAACCCATTTAATACCCTGCCTTCTCTCCTAGCATTATATACAAGCAAACTCAGCCTCAGAGGCCAGCACAGTGCCATAGTACCCTCAGGAGGGATCATCTTCCTCCAGTGTGTCTCAGGGAAGAAATAAGAAAATGAATCTGAATAAGGAGGGTCCACAGGAGCTCTCCTGGACCCTGAACTCACTGTACAAACACTCTACTGGGCAGTCCCAGGCCCTGTTCTCTGCAGGCTCTGTAACACCCAGCCAGAGGTGGAGGGTCAGATGAGGACCCCTCACCTGAGGACCCCCTGGTCTGGACAGACCCCAGTGAGCCCCTGGAGCTCAAGAACACAGTTCAGGAAGACCTGGCCTTGCCGTGGTTCCCAGGAGCAGCCCTCTTGTGTGAAATGTGAGGGGAGACAGGCCTCTTGACACCACTGACACTGAGTGTGGGACATGGTGGGCCCAAGGCTCAGAATCCAAGGCGGAAAATGAGAGTAGAACCCAGGAGTCCAAGAGAGAGATCTGTCTCTCATGGCTTCCCTTGTCCTCTTGCAGTTCAGGAACCAGCTTAAGTGTCATTTCTATGAGTGAGCTTCACTGTGTCCTCATTCAAGCAGACCCCTCTTCCTTACCTGATTCCTTGCAGAGACCCTAAAAAAAACTACCATCTGGGCTGTGCCATGCTCTGTGGTCACCGAAGGGTGACATGTTCTACATAAAGAGGGAATCCTATTACCCTGGAACACACAGATTCCACTAAGCCCAGGAACTAAGCTGTTCTCCATTTCATATATGATAGAGGAGTCCACAGGGTGATATTGTTATTACTATTATAGCCTTGAAAGCCTCAATGTGTAGTGACACACTGGATCTGGTAGTCATAGGTGAGGGGATAATTAGGCATTCCCATTCCCAGATGATACCCTCAGAAAAAGGGGTCTGATCTCACAGTGCCTCTGCTCACAATCCATCCCCAGGGAACAATGGGGGAGGTGTGAGTTCATTAGCATGCTGCCTACTTCTGTCCTAGGAATCTACAACAGTAAACCATGGCTTTCAGCTCAGCCCAGCCCTGTGGCATCCCCAGGAGAGAAACTGATGCTGCATTGTGTCTCACAAGAAGGATATGACAGGTTCATTCTGACTGAAGAAGGAGAACAGAATCACTTGAGGTCCCTGGACTCACAGCATGTATCCATTAGAAAATTCCAGGCTCTGTTCCCTGTGGGTCCTGTGACACCCAGCAGCAACAGAACCTTCAGATGTTATGGTTCTTACAAAAGATACCCACAGGTGTGGTCAGAACCCAGTGACCCCCTGGAAATACACATCCCAGGTGAGGAAGCCCCATCATTCATGGAATCGTATTTAGGCCCCAAGATCTTTGCCATGAGTCCTGTTATTTTCTGGGGAATACAGGTAGGAGGTGCCTGAAGGGACCTCTTTGCACCTGGGCAGGAGTTCCACAGAGAAGAATGGGAGGGTAGATAAATATGGTAGAAACTAGATACTCAACCAGCATTCCATCTGGCTTCTAGAGCTGTACTAGAAGCCCTTCATGACACCCAGCCAGGACCTATCTTAACCCCCAGAGAGATCCTGACCCTACAGTGCATCTCTGACATCAGGTAGAACAGATATTCTCTATTCAAAGAGAAGGAAAGTAGCCTCCTACAAAGTCCAGGGTTAGAGCCCCAGGTTCATTTTTCTCAGTCAGCTACACACTATCCCCTCTGAGGTCTTCTACTGGAGGCTGGCACAGGTGCTATGCTGCACAGAGACTCTCCTCCCAGGGGGCAGTCCCCAGTGATGCCCTGGACATACTGATCACAGGTAAAGGGCCAAGTGAATTCAGTTAGGGACCCAGAATCTTAACAGACCCTGCTAGGAGAGCCCAAGGACTGAGGTTAGGATGAAGGTTTGGGGTATAAGGGAGGCACAGAAACAAGACAGGGGAGAAGGGAAGGGGCAGAATCACAGAAACCAGACATAGAGACCCATATCCTCAGATTCAGGCTGCAGTGATGTCTCAGCTCAGAAGAAAACACTCAGTCCCTCACCTGTCCTTCTCCCTAGGACAGCTCCATCTCACACCCTCCCTCTCAGTATAGCCACGCCCCAAAGTGTCCTCAGGAGAGAATGTGACCCTCCTGTGTCAGTCCTGGAGTCAGATGGACACTGTCCTTCTGACCAAGGAAAGGGTAGTCAATTCCCCACTCTGTCTTAGCTCTAGGTCTCACACTGGGAAGTACTGGGAAGACTTCTCCATCAGTGCTGACACCTCATCCATTGGTGGGACTTAGAGGTGGGATGGTTTTCAAGGCTCATCCCCTGCCTGTTGTCATATACTATTGCCCTTGTGGAGCTTGTAGCTTCAGGTATGAGGATCCTGAGGTCAAAAAAATGACTCAGCATCCTGTCCCCAGGACAGCCCTTGGTTAGGAATGGATTAAAGATCACAGGAAGACAAAGACAGGAGACTCACCCTAGGAGAGCTGGAGACCAACAGGAGACCTTCCTGGGTTTCTCACACCACCTCCTTCATTAAAATCGGGGTTCCAGCTGGGCAGTAGGAGGTTCTTGGGGAGGCCACAGGGCAGATGTAAGACAACAAACAGCAGCTGTGTCTCCATGTCAGATTCTGCATCTGACATCCTCTTCTACTGTTTCCCATGATCCTCTGTAGGCAACAGCAACCTATCCACAGGGCCCATCCTAACAGCTGGTGAGTATCAGGGACTTCTGTTCAGGGACTTTCCTCTATCCCTGAGCTACCTGAAGACTCTCATCCCATCTAAGGCCTGCTTCCTGTGTCAGCTCATCTTGTGTCCAGAAGCCCAGAGATCAGACAGAGCTGCCAACAGAGACCCCAGAATTCCAGTCTTTGAGGCTGAGCTGCAGGAGGGCTCATACAAGAAAACAAAGGTGTTTGGTCACAAGTTGGGAAAGAAGAAACTGGGCTGAGGTGGAGAATGGGGAGTCCAGACCCTCACCTCCCCATCCCACCATGAGGACAGTAGAAGCAGTTGCTCAGACCCATGGAGTCAGTTCTGTAGAATGATAAAAGAGAACTGTGGGAAGGCGGGTTCAGGGGAACCACATGTAGTTATGGGGTTGGTGTAGCCTCTTCTGGAGATGCTGAATATGACAAATCTCTCCCCTGAGTGGGTCTTGGCTTCTCTGAATGTGAATGACAAGCCTTCACCCTGACCTTAGAGGTCCTTTCACAGCTGACCTAGGCTGTGATCCACACTGGCAGAGGAGGCCTCCACTGATTCTGCAGTGGGCCTCTAACCTTTTCCAAAGTGATGCTGACATTGTGTGAGGGTTGTTCACAGGGCCAAGGTAGGACATTCAGGCTCCTTCCATTCAGGGTCTCAGTTCTGGTGGAGAACAAGGCTGGAAGTCAGATTCCCTGGATTCAACCCAACTCTGCCTCTTCCAGTTGGGTGACCTGGGGCAAGTGAACTGTCTGGGGGCAGAGCTGATCTCATTTTGCATGATCCTGAGGATAGGAGGTGCTGAATGTAAAGTCCTAGAGTGTGCCTGGCACACATTAGGTGGTCAAGTCAGCTAACACTGCTCTTGATACATGAAGTCACTTGTGCCACAGGACTGGGAAGTTACCAGATGATTCTGATCGGGGTCTCAGTGTTCTTCCTGCTCTTCCTCCTCATCTTCCTTCTCCTCCGATGGAGATGTCAGCACAAATGCAGGAAAGATGGTGAGTAGGATGTAGGTGATCTGGTTCTCAGGAGGTGGGGGGCCTCCCCCTGTGGACCATCCAAGCAGGGGCTCAGGGCACCAGCCCCAGGGAAACCAGCCGGACTGGGGTAAGTCAGCTCAGGAGGGCTTCCACAGAATATCAGATCAGAGACATGTGATCTCAGTAGCTGTGCAAAGGTAAGGTATTATGTGAGCTGTTCATCTGGAACATTTACATACTCCATATGGTATAAAGTTCCTTTCCTTCCCTGCAGGTTCTGGAACAGGGTTTCCCACCCCTGGCTGAGACTCCTCTCTCTTTCAGTCCAGAGTAAAATCACTGACATACAACTTCCTGAGGTCACTGAGGAGCCAGTGCCCAGGGAGAGAGGTCCTCAGAAGAGGTAACTCAAGTCCCGTAACCCAGATTCCCACTTGTTTCCTGCTCCTCACCACCAACTCACACCCCTTTGTGCCCTCAGATCCTGCCCAGCTACTGCCATCAAGAAAGAAATCCTATGTGAGAGATGAGGGCCCTGGGAATGGGGACACCTGAAGTCTTGGCAACACAGGGGTGGAGGAGAGGGGCTGTGGTCAGGGCTCTATGGGACTGAAGTCTCACTATAGACCGGGGGCATCGCCATGCTTCCTGGCTCTGTCCCCATGTGGGGCAGCAGAGGAGTCTAAGGAACTGAGAGATCCAAGGACGTTGGCCAGGAGACAACTCCCTTGTTCTTTTCACATCAGATGCTTCTCTGAAGATCCCACAGCCAAAGGGCAGCGTGGAGCCAGACAGTCTGGTGAGAACCTGTCCCAGTTGACAGTGCTGTAGTCCTTCAGGCCCAATTTGGCCCAGCGTCATTCTCTGTCACCCCTCTCTCAGGCCACAGTCACATCCACCTCTGATCTCCTCCTTCCAGAAGCACCTGCCACTTTCTACAAGGCCCTCACTCCATCTTGGTTTTCCTGGGACCATGCAGCCTTTCTCTGTCTCGTTGGCTCCTCAGCATCTGTCTGACTGTTACCATGTTCTCAGTGTCTCAGAAGGATACCTGGGGCCTGCAGCTACAGTTCATTAGTGGAGGGATTATCTACCATGCACAAGTTACTAATTTTGATATCCTGAACTGAGAATAGAACCAGTAGGACCAATGAATAAATTAGACCCCATGAACCTGCCCCAGGCACCCATAGTGGCTCACTCTTTTTATACATTTTTCTTTACATATGTATTTTTGTGTGTGTGCACATGTGTGGAGGGCTGGGATCGGCACTGGGTGACTTTCTCAATCCTCTGCACCTTGTTCGTTGAGACAGATTTCCCACTGAACCTAGAGCTTGGTCATTTGGCTAGACTGCCTGGTCAGCAAGTCTCAGGGATCCCCTGTCTCTCCCTCTCCAGTGCTGGGATCACAGACTTGCCTAGACATTACATGGCAGGGTGCTGGGGACCAAACTCCAGTCCTAATTCTTGTCAGCAAGCATTTTACTGGCTGAGCCATCGCCCAGACCCTGGACCTCCCCCTGGACCAGGCTTCCTGTAGGGGCTGCAGATGCTGCAGGGAGCCAAGATCTCCATCCATGGGGACAACTGTAAGGGGAGGAGACAACCAGCTAACCATGCAGAGTGGGAGCAGTGCCATGTGCTTCAGGCAAATGGAGCAGAGAAAGGGGAAGGAGAGCAGACAGGGCCAGTGTGAATCTCCAGGGCTCTGACAGGTGCCTTCCCAGATAGAGTCTGATCAAACAGTTCCTGCATACAGGAGACACTGTAGGCAAGTAGGTCCTGGGCAGGAGCAGGCCCTCTCAGGACGTTGGGTTGTGTGACTGGAGGTCAGACTTGAAGGAAGGGAGCTGTCAGATACCTCAGGTCCTCAGGAAGCCCCTGAAGACCCATTAGGAATGCTCTGGTCTGATTTAAATGTCTACAGGAGTACTCTGGTCACCCCATAGAATCTGACTGGCAAGAGCTCAGGGAACCAAGAGACATCGTCTCACTGTCTCCCTTCTGCAGAACCCACCTGATGAAGACCCCGTGAAGGAGATGTATGCACAAGTGAAACCCTCCAGGCTCAGGAGGGCAGGGGCCACCTCTCCTCCTTCAACCTTCTCAAGGGAATTTCTGAGCTCAAAGAACAGGGAGTCAGAAGACAGAGAGAGGGACAGTGAGGTGAGTCTTGTTCTCCACAGGCCCCCAGCTTCCAAAACCAGGCCAAGCACCTCACTTCTTCTCATCCTCCCTGACCCCAGGCTGCTGTGTCTGAGGATGTCCAGGATGTGTGCTATGCCCACCTGTGCATTGTTACACCAGGAAAGGCACAGCTGAGTCTCGTGCCTCCCAATCTGAGAAGCCCAAGATGAGACCAAGGATCCCCCTGCTCTGGTTTCCCTGATCCCAGGAAGACACTGACCCCACATGCCATGGAGAGTCACTCAGGGACATCTGAAAGACAGAATCTGCCCTGAGTGGACGGCCATCTTGCAGAACCCACCTGTCTCCAGGAGATTCTGGGAATTTTGTAGGCTGACTTTATTGTTGAGTAGAAATAATAATCTTTCTACATTTTGGAAATAAATCCAAAGTCTTCTCAATAATCAGTGAATGAAATGAGAAAAAGAAAACTGAGTTAAGAGAAGGCCTTTTAACATGAGTGTATCGTCAATCTTTCTTCAATAAAGCTGAAAACTGAATGATAAGAAACTGTGGCACTTCTATCCATGAAATGCAAATTCAGAACCATAAATAAATGTATAAGAAAATAGATCATGACCTCATAATCATATTGCCATTTCAGAAAAAAAGAAAAACAACCTGTTCTAAATGGAGGAATGGAAAAGAAATGGTATATAAGTAGACACCATGAGCTACAATCATGATATTGCAGTATAGTAATCACAACTACTCAGGTGGCTGAGGCAGGGGGATCACAAGTTCTAGGCCAACCTGAGATACACAGAGAGTACAAGGGCAGCCTATGGAACGAACTATGAAGACCATCTCAAAATACAAATCAAAAGGCACTTGCAGATATTGCTCAGTGGTTGAGCACTTGCCTCACACATGAGTAACAAACCTGTATGGAGAGGGGGAGAGAGAGAGAGAGAGAGAAAGGAGAGGAGAGGTGAGAGAGGAGAGAGGAGAGAGAGAAGCTCTATTAAATGCGCATCATATACCAGCTCTGATGTGCAGACTTCTATACTGGCTGGGAATACTTTATCACAGAAACATAGCACACAAGTAATGTTTTCCCCAACAATCCTAACAGGATTTTTCTTTATTATGTTTTATAGTTTATATTTTCATGCATGATGTCATCGAACATGGTTCATATTCAAGAACTTCTTGCTGTCCTCCCTGTCCCTATTTGTTCTGAAAGCTGTTTACCTCCTTCACACTAATAATCCCCATTCCTCTATAATCATGTATGTGTGCATTTCATTCTAGACTGCACATAGGAAAAACATGGAACGTTTATCTTCAATTATGTCTTCCCGTTTTCCAGTTTATCCTCCTGTCAGCATGCTTCCTCATCACATGTAGTTCTCTTTGGACTTTCATATCACATATATGTATTTTTAATTTTGGTTATTTCTATGACAAAATATGCATCAGTTTTCATTTCCCTGATGAATACAAGTGCCTCAATCACAGTCGCCTACACCCTCGCTGGTCGCCTTCCTCCTTCCCATCTCTCTGCTCTCATTGAAAACAGCCCCACTTCAACTACCATGTATGATATAATATGGATTCCATATGTGCACAGATGGTATTTGTCATTCTAAATCTAGTTTCTTTCCATTAACATGTGGACCTCCAGTTCATTTTTCCAAATACAGTCACTTCATTCTTCTTAAAGCTGGATAAAACCCCATATGACCAATTTTCCTCATCACTCCTGTGCTGATGAACACTTAGGCTATTCCATATATTCACTACTGGAAATAGTGCAGCAATAAACGTGATCTGCAAGTATCTCCATGGATGGCCATGTAGAATGGGAAAGCTGCATCGCAGAGGAGCTCATTGTTGTTTTCTGAGGAATCTCCACACTGATTTCCCCTGTGGCTGCATAGTTTCCATTGCAACTAGCAATAAATACACAAGGGTTCCTGCTACCCACATCCCACCGTGTTTACTGTTGTGTTATCTCTGTGCTGCCCATCTTGGTGCCGCCCAATGGACCTGTGAACACGAATGGGAAAGCTGCATCGCAGAGGAGCTCATTGTTGTTTTCTGAGGAATCTCCACACTGATTTCCCCTGTGGCTGCATAGTTTCCATTGCAACTAGCAATAAATACACAAGGGTTCCTGCTACCCACATCCCACCATGTTTACTGTTGTGTTATCTCTGTGCTGCCCATCTTGGTGCCACCCAATGGACCTGTGAACATGACCCTCTGCCTTCATCCCTCACCTAGGAGTGCTGCTCTTCTCACAGCAGCAGGACCATGTTGCTTCTTAAAGATTTCCAACCACCATATGAGACATCTCAGAATACATTCATTGTGCAGAAGACTGTGGACATTGGGACAGAGCAGCCTGGTTGGGTTTCATGTCTCAAAGTAACTGAGCAAACAAACTCCCCAACCCCTTGCAGTCTGTGCTGCCCTCTGCTCAGGCTTCAGCCCTTCATGTCACAGTGTAGCCTTGCCCAAAGGACTCAGTTCATTTGCACAGCTGTTCAGTATTTTTAGTTTTTCAGGTTCGTATACAAAGCAGTGGTTTCATTTTGGCATCTTGTTACATGTGTGTCATTAAACTCCATGGTGATTAAGGCTGAAGGCCACAACTGGCCAACAGGCAGAGACTAAGAGGCCACAGGTGCCTGTACCTCAACAGGACATCATATAAAACAACAGCCACCCAGGTGTCAGTGACATTGTGAAACTGGTGACACAAAGACTGTAGGGGGCAGGTGCATGATCACAAGGAAACAAAGTCTTCCAGCACTCCAGGAATTTGTTCATATGAACTTACAGTAATGATGACAGCATTCACAAGATCCATGCAAACTTAATCAGACAAGAATCCATCATAAAACTGAGGAAACGGACAGAAGAGCCCAACCTTAGCCGAGGGATTATTGGCAGCTCATCAATGCTGGTTGAGGGAGAGGAGGTCACACAAAGGGACACAAACTTGACTGGATAGGCTTTAACATATATGACAGAATACATGAAATCCAGAATGGCAGCCTATGAGAGGTGCAGATAGGTGAGGGTCTAAATATTAAGATTTTTTATGAAATGCACAAAACGTCCATAAAAATACATATTAACAAAGAGAGAAATTGTTAGAACGAATCTCACCAATTCAGGACTAGGCCTGGATCGAAGAATACCAAATTTTGAGGATCTCTAGGTCTTTCTCTTTTTAGTCACTGGCCTTAAAGTTCACACTACCTTTTCTAGGTATACTCTCATTTCAACCTTTCAATCCTTTATTGTGTGGGTTCCCCAGGGAAAATGTAAAAAATATGATTAATCTCTTGACTGCCTGACATTTGTTTCCAAAATTGAATGCAGCTGCTATAAACATTCTTGGAACTTTATAGGGGATGTATAAACTACTTCTATGGAAAACATAATGAAAAGTGGACTTTCTGGGTCAAAAGAGATATTCACCTACATCCCTTTGTGAAATACCTGCTAAACCAAGTTGATTAAGTCTTTAATTCACTGTTTTCTTTCCTATGAATAAATTACAAAGCTTTCTCTGTTAGACATTAGCATTGTGTATGATCCCTCTGTATTTTGCATTTTCATTTTTATAATGGTTTTTTCATATTTATAATAGTACCTTGAAGAAGAAATGAGAATAAATAAAATAGAACCTCAGGCATGTTAGGCAATTATTCTACAACACACTTCCCTTCCTGAGTCACTCAAAAATATAAATGTTCAAAGAAAAAAATTCACATGCAGAGCAACTTACTAGACATCTTGATAAGTAACAGTATTTTTAGAGTTAAGCAGTTTGATAAAAGAGGATTCAAAATCTATATCATTAACACAGCCATTATCAATATCTCTATTCCCTGTTCATTTGTTCTCATAGAAAGAACATTTAACATGCACTCTCCAGGCAGACTTCAACTGTGTGAGGCAGTGCTGCTATCTAAGGGGCAGGTTGTGACACTGAGAGGTCCTGGTCAGAGGGGACACACAGCAGCTGCACCAGATGACTGAGTTCCAGAGACCTTTGCTCACCAGGGTGACTGTAGCTTCAAAGAACTTTTCATAAATATGTTAGTAGATAAAGGGGTTCATTGGACCTTTGTGAGAGCTGTGTTAAACTTGGAAACATATCTGAGAATTTCCATTACACTCATCCCTGCCATGTGAGAGTGAGGAGAGGCTGTGTGGTCAGCAAACAGAAACCTTTGCACAGTGTGAATTGGGGCTGTGCTGACCACATCCTGCTCATGTGACATATTTGATCAGTACCTGCCTGCTGTGCTGCAGAAGAAATGTGCTCCTCTCAAGTAGACATGGAGAACTGTCCCTGCCCGGTCAGGCTGGATATAGGACAATCCCCCACTCACTAGGGACCCCACCCCAGGGACCCCCCCTAGGAGACTGCAGAAAGAATCCTGTAGGGAGAGATGAAAGGGAATGTCCACTGCCATTCTCCCTGGACTCCTGCATGAAGGTAGTTCCTGTGCAGATCAACAGAGGCACAAGCTAAACAATGCATCTTATCTCAATACTGGGTGATTTTAAAGATTGGTTAATAGGAAATTATTACTAGCAGGTAGATTTCTAGCTGGTGCCAGATGAGAGAATTCAGAAACTGGACTCCACAACTTACCTTACTGTACACTTGTGTGGTGGACACCTTCAAGTGCTAGAAAATATGTGAGCCTGTTCTCCACTGCTAACAGATTTCATTACCTTGTTTCCTTCCCATAAGCAATGACTGCATGCCCCAAGAAATTAAGCCTTCAAAATTATTGTCAAGGGATTTTATACATGTTCTTTTTACTCTTCCAAACTGTCCCATTCTCCCCCTTCTCACAGAGGAGCTGAAGGAGGAGGAATTACAAGTTCAACGTCATCTGAAGTTCCATAGGAAGCTGGGGACTCTGACTATAACAAGTAAGAACAGGACTCTGCAGAGATGGCTTGGTGAATAAGAGCACAAGGAGCTCTTCCAGGGGATCTGGGTT